TACTTTGTCAAAAAAGAAAGAAGATAAAACTCAAGTCTGTGGCCACAACTGGGACCTTAACAGGAACGGATTCCTTGCTCTTAATTGTGTGCCATTAGCTAATCTCCTGCACACCAGCTCCGTGGAGGCGACCCGAGTTCTAGCCTTACGGAAGTCGGAGAAAATCTCTCTCTCTCTCCTGTTTATCCAGCCCAGGCATCATTTTATAAACCTCTCCCCAAAGTCATATTTCTCCTAACCCCCCTGGGATCTTCCATGTAGGGCAAACCATCGATCATGTTGGCTGCTCCACCCCCCTGTGCAATTTTCCACCTCCTTCACCCCTTCTTCCACGAGCCAGACTCTCTGGACATCGCCTTCCAAGATGGCCATTGCCAATCTTAGTTGCCTCCCCCTCCCCGGCCCACCCAAAGCCCCTCTTCGTTGTTATTGCTGTGGAAGACCTGGCGGCACTTTCCTGTTTTAAAGAAATAAGATTTATGAGACTCCAAAGATGCTTAATAAAATATTTACAGAGCGTGGCTTTGGATGTGGGAGAGGGGGCCTGGCTCTCTACCCGAGCCCTTTCTGCTCCTGCCGCTGTCAGAAATCTGGGTGGCACAAGGCGCGGTAATATAAACGGAACATTTTTCCATTCCCCTAAACTCTATAAATCTTCAGGGCTGTCTAAAAGCACTTTGTTTTCTGGGGAGGGGGAGGACGGAGGAAGGAAGGAAGGAAGGAAGGAAGGAAGGAAGGAAGGAAGGAAGGAAGGAAGGAAGGACACCTTCACATCTTTTCCAGGGGGTCCACTTCCCTGGCCCCACGACATTCACAATTCATACTGGAAGCCTAGTGTCTAGTCCTTAAGGTCTGAAAATTTTTGCGGTTCTATAGCTCACTGTGTGACTTGAGCTGTTGCCAGTTCTGAATGCTGCAGTTTGACTGAATGAAGTTCCCCGAATTAGTTCAAAACCCACCCCCTCTGAACTACAACTGAAATCACTTTATTTTTCTCTCTATAAGACGCACCAGACCACAAGACGCACCTAGTTTTTGGAGGAGGGAAACAAGAAGAAAAATATTCTGAATCTCAGAAGCCAGAAGAGCAAGAGGGATCGCTGCGCAGTGAAAGCAGCAATCCCTCTTGCTGTTCTGGCTTCTGGGATAGCTGCGCAGCCTGCATTCGCTCCATAAGACGCACACACATTTCCCCTTACTTTTTAGGAGGGGAAAAGCGAGTTTTATAGAGCAAAAAATACGGTAATTCCCAGGACTGACCGAATCGAGTTTGTTTGGGGGCAGAAGTTCGAACCATTTTGACTTAATCCAGATCAAGGGAAGTAAGAGTACCGCTCTATTCTGCCTTGGTCAGGCCACACCTGGAATACTGCGTCCAGTTCTGGCAACACAATTTAAGAAGGATGTTGACAAGCTGCAAGGTGTGCACAAGAGGGCATAGGAATTCGTTCATATTTTTTTTCAAAATATAGTCCGGCCCTCCACATGGTCTGAGGAATGGTGGACCGGCCCGTGGCTGAAATAGGTTGCTGACCCCTGACCTAAGCAATCGGAAGGACGGACTCTTACCTTTGCACCAAGTGAATGGCGCCAGAGAAGGGTGATGGGCTCGCATTCCTCTTGCATCTCACCCTCTTTTGTTGGCGAGCTCCGATTCTGGCTCCCGTCCCGTAAGCAGGAAAGGGGGGAAAGCGATGCAATGGATGGAAAGGATGAGTTGATTTCGGGAAAGGGTCCTGGAGCTTGCCGGGTGCAGCCGACATCACTCCTATTGGCGCTGCAATGAAACTGCTGCCACATTGGCAGAGCTAAGCAGGGTCCAGTGTGGTTTCGAACTGGATGGGAGACCGCGTGTCGAGATTCCTGCATTGCAGGGCGTTGGACTGGTTGACTCTTGGCGTCCCTTCCAACTATGCTTCTATGCCCCTCGGGGTACTTTCCAAATCTTCACTTGTCTGCCCCTGGAATCTGGTGTTTCCATTGTCCAGTTTGGAACAGCAGGGAGAGAACGTTGTTTTTCCCCCCTTCACTAGGCTGGCGTGCAAAAGGAAGCTTTGCAGATCTCGGGGCTGTGGGAATGTTCAGGGATGCAGGAGAGGATATATTGTTTGGTTACCGTCTTTCCAACTTGTGTTAACAAGTTCACAATTTAGCAGAGTAACATTCCCCCTTTTAAACTTGCAGCGGATGCGTTTGCTCAGGCTAGCTAAAGCCTCTATGATAACTGTTCTGGTAAAGGTAAAGGTAAAGGTAAAGGGACCCCTGACCATTAGGTCCAGTCGTGGCCGACTCTGGGGTTGCAGCACTCATCTCACTTTATTGGCCGAGGGAGACGGTGTACAGCTTCCGGGTCATGTGGCCAGCAAGACTAAGCCACTTCTGGCGAACCAGAGCCGCGCACGGAAACGCCGTTTACCTTCCCGCCGGAGCGGTACCTATTTATCTACTTGCACTTTGACATGCTTTCGAACTGCTAGGTGGGCAGGAGCAGGGACCGAGCAACGGGAGCTCACCCCGTCATGGGGATTCGAACCACCGACCTTCTGATCGGCAATTCCTAGGCTCTGTGGTTTCACCCACAGCGCCACCCGCGTCCCTTAACTGTTCTGGTATTTTCCTCTTATTCCCTCATAAAAGATAAGACACGACACAGTCTTCTATAAAAGTATAAAAAGAATTTGCTCACATTCTGTTCACAATCGGATCCCAGAAGGCAGACTTATCTTAGAAAAGTAACATACACCTGGAAACTATCCCATAAAGAGACAGTCCCTTTGTCCTCTCTTGGCCAAGAGAGCATCTTTGGCTAAGCAGATGTTGCTTCTTCAATGCATGTAGTCAAAAAGAGAGAGATGGCCGCCCTGCCCTGTGCTTTTGTCATTACCTGCACAGGTGAGGCCACGCCCACCTCTAGTCCCATGCAGAGGAAGTCTGTCCCAGCCCAGAAGGAAACAGGAAGTTTACCTGCTGGCTGGACAAACATTCCTCCCCATTTGTAAACATGTTCACTCTAGGAATGTACTTGACTGCTCTTGTGTTTCACATCCCACAAAACCATCAGACCCAGCCAGCTGAAGCGGAAGATAACCAGAGCATGGACCACTCTGGACAGACAGTCTGCAGGCAGGTAGGGTCTCAGCCTGCGTACCAGATGGAGCTGGTAGACAGCTGCCCTGGACACAAAATTGACCTGCACCTCCATGGATAGCTATGAGTCCAAAATGACTTTCAGGCTGCACACCTGGTCCTTCAGGGGCAGAGTTACCCCATTCAGGACCAGGGAGTCCTCCACACTTGCCCGCCCCCTGTCCTCCCAAAACAGGACTTCTGTCTTGTCAGGATTCAACCTCAATCTGTGGAGCTTCTTAGCTGCGATCAACAGGGTGTTTGTACACAACACAGCAGAAGACAAGCAACTCGACATCACCAGGAAGGTTTGCCATTGGCCTCTGCCTGAGATACTGGAAAGGCGCTGCCAGTTGGTGCCGACAACACTGACCTCGATGGGCTGGTGGGCAGCTGTCCTCTCTCGCTGTGATTCGGTTCGTTTTCTCTCCCACTTGCTTAAGCATAGAGCAGACTCTTTGCAAGCCCTGAGCCAACAGAGGAAGGAAACCTTCGATCGGGGAGATTGCAGAGACTCTAGGAATGTTGTACTTGACTGCTCTTGTGTTTCACATCCCACAGGGGCTCCCTTCGTTGGATCTGTTCTGGCAGGCCAGCTTCATCGGGTGTCCTCTCTCCACAATTGTCACCTGGGGGCGGCGGCCATTCCCTCAGTGGGAAACATGGGAAGCAGCAGGGCTCACACTGCACCAGCTTTGCTGGACGCCCAGCTCCTGCCCCTGAATCTCTGGGTTGTGGGTTCGAGCCCCAGCTTGGGCAAAAACAACAACAATACTGTATTGCATAGGGTTGGACTAGGTGACCCAAACGGTCCTTTCCAACTCTACCATTCTACGGTTCTATAACTGTGCCACCTGGTCAACGGTTTAGAAATCGAGTTTTGATGTTCCTCATCCCTCCCTGTTCCTTTTTCCCCGCGTGTTGTGTGATGATGATGGTGGTGGTGATTATTATTTTTTCCCAGATTGTAAGCCTGTGGGTAGAAACTGTCTTGTTTTGTATGGAAGCGACTCTGGGAGCCTTTTGGAGAGCAGGGGTAAGGTAAAGGTAAAGGTAAAGGGACCCCTGACCATTAGGTCCAGTCGTGACTGACACTGGGGTTGCGGCGCTCATCTCGCTTTATTGGATTAATCGATATGTATATGTATAATCTGGAATACTTAATGTGATTTGATTGGATTGTTAAAATGGAAAACTTAATAAAAATGATTTTTTAAAAAAAGTTTGTTATTGGTATGAGCTTTCGTGTGCATGCAAATGAAAACTCATACCAATAACAAACTCTCTAAGGTGCTACTGGAAGGAATTTTTTTTATGTTGTTTCGACTACGGCAGACCAACACGGCTACCTACCTATATTATACATCTCAACTATGAGCTGAAAGGAGTATGGCAGGGTTAACTATGCCCTACTCAAAGTAAAGGTAAAGGGACCCCTGACCATTAGGTCCAGTTGTGACCGACTCTGGGGTTGCGGCGCTCATCTCACTTTACTGGCTGAGGGAGCTGGCGTACAGCTTCTGGGTCATGTGGCCAGCAGGACTAAGCCGCTTCTGGTGAACCAGAGCAGCGCACGGAAATGCCATTTACCTTCCCGCTGGAGCTGTACCTATTTATCTACTTGCACTTTGATGTGCTTTTGAACCGCTAGGCTGGCATGAGCAGGGACCGAGCAACGGGAGCTCGCCCCGTCACGGGGATCCGAACCGCCGACCTTCTGATCGGCAAGTCCTAGGCTCTGTGGTTTAACCCACAGACCCACTGAAATTAACGAACCTCAGTTCTTATCTATGAACTTCAACGACTCTACCCTTATAGATTGGCACCCATTGTATCTTCGTCCTGATGCAAAATCAACACACCACACCAATTGCTTTTTTTCAGTTATTCCTCTCTTTTTTAATCATTTCCCCCCCATGTCAACATCGCGTTCGGTTCTTAAGGCGTTTGCTTCTTCCTCCAAGAACTCGTATGCTTTCGGCCGAGAAATAAATGGTAAAAGAAAAACGTACCTGAAAGGCAAGCAAAGGTTGACATTGTTTTGCACAATAAATTAGGAGAGGGAGGGGAATAAGATGGAGATGCCCTCAGCGCAATAGGTAGGATATATTTTAGGGTACCTAAATAAATATCATAAGTTACTTTGAATAAATAGAACTCAGCATAATATACAGTGGAATTGCATCAACTTCTCAAGGTAAATCAGTGGGCGGTGTTGACACCAGGTTTGGGAGACCCTCAAAGCTCTCTGGGAACACAGATTGTTGGCTTACGCCAGGTCCATCTAACTCAATATTATCTACACGGGCCGGCAGAAGCTCTCCAGAGTTTTGCTTTTCCCAACACTAAGTGGAGACCACGTGCTCTACAACTGAACTATAGTCCTTCCCCCAGCACATCTTTAGATCGCAGGGAAATAATACATTGCGACAGCAGCCCTTTCTTTCCATGTTAATACATTTCTCAATGAGCACCAGTAGTCATCGATGGCTTTTGATGGCTGGTGGCGGCTAGCAATGACACAGCTGCAGATCTGGGACTGAAAGGAAATGGTTCAGAAGTTGGAATGTCGCCAGCAAAATATATAAAAGAGGGAAGATAGGGTGCAGCAATAATATTGTATAAAAAAAAATACCACGGGAAATGGGATGGGAAGTTGATAGAACCAACAAAAATAAATTATTATGTATTGGAATTTTATGTGAAATTTGTGGGAATTTAATGAAACTTGAATGCCAGTGCCCATCAGCTGGGGGGCTCAAATATTTTGTGGCAGCCAGCGAGGCATAATAATAATAATAATAATAATAATAATAATAATAATAATATATTTATACCCTGCCCGTCTGGCTGGGTTTCCCCAGCCACTCTGTGAGGCTCCCAACACAATATTAAAAACACGTTAAAACATCAAACATTAAAAGCTTCCCTAAACAGGGCTGCCTTCAGATGTCTTCTAAAAGTCAGATAGTGGTTTATTTCCTTGACATCTGATGGGAGGGCATTCCACAGGGCGGGCGCTACCACTGAGAAAGCCCTCTGCCTGGTTCCCTATAACCTCACTTCTCACAGGGAGGGAACCGCCAGAAGGCCCTCGGAGCTGGACCTCAGTGTCCAGGCTGAACGATGGGGGTGGAGACGCTCCTTCAGGTATACCGAGCTGTTTAGGGCTTGAAAGGTCAGCACTGAAACTTTGAATTGTGCTCGGAAATGTACTGGGAGCCAATGTAGGTCTTTCAAGACTGGTGCTATGTGGTCTCGGCAGCCGCCCCCAGTCACCAGTCTAGCTGCCGCATTTTGGATTAGCTGCAGTTTCCGGGTCACCTTCAAAGGCAGCCCCACGTAGAGTGCATGGCAGTAGTCCAAGCGGGAGATAACTAGAGGCATAATCCCCAAGATAAGGGGATCCAGCGGGGAGAAGTATCTTTGATAGTGCTTTGATACCATCTCCAGAACCAGGTGGCGAAGAGATGGATGGGGAAAGAAGCTGATGGGGAAGTGGAGAGGCAAAACACCTCCCCCCCATCCCAAATAGTAAAGGTAAAGGGACCCCTGACCATTAGGTCCAGTTGTGACCGACTCTGAGGTTGCGGCGCTCATCTCACTTTATTAGCCAAGGGAGCCGGCATACAGCTTCCGGGTCATGTGGCCAGCATGACTGAGCCACTTCTGGCAAACCAGAGCAGCGCACAGAAACACCGTTTACCTTCCCGCCGGAGTGGTACCTATTTATCTACTTGCACTTTGATGTGCTTTCGAACTGCTAGGTTGGCAGGAGCAGGGACCGAGCAACGGGAGCTCACCCCGTCGTGGGGATTCAAACCACCAACCTTCTGATCAGCAAGTCCTAGGCTCTGTGGCTTAACCCACAGCGCCACCCGCGTCCCGTTCCCATCCCAAATATTTTCTCCAAATTGGCCCTTCTCAAGAACATTTTTCTGGAGATGTCGTCCCGTTCGTGGATGCAATCCTGGCCTGTGGTTTGGACCTCTCATTGCCCAACCGTGGAAGCACTCTGTGTGTTGATGTCATCTGGACGCTTCTGGGGCGGCCGAGCCAAAGCAAAGACAGAAACCTGGAAAGGGGCCTTCACTACATGGCTACTCTCTCCCAAACATCTGTATCGGGGCTGTTATTGAACGGAGGCCTTTCCTGGACAACAATTAGCAAAACAAAACAGAATAGAATGTGGGTGGGGGACAAAAAGGAAAGATGGCAAGAATAAAAGGGAGTCTTTTGACGTACAGATGTTTTTTCTACCCGCCTCGGATCTCACTTCTGCCAACGCTTTGGAAATTTTAACATGGCGGAAATGGTCCGTTTTCACGCAGAAGCACAGTCCTGGGTAAGGAAGATCTTGTGAGAAAGGGGCATCTTTAAGGAAAAACTGCTGTTGACTGGGAAATGTCCTTCTGGCCGGCTGAATGGAGAGACGGATGGGAGGAACTCAGGGAGAGGGAGAGAGAAAGAGAGGCCCCTGAGCTAAACTGGTGCAGAATGGATGGAGAAGGAGGAGAAATGGCCTGGAAAACAGCTACAGGAATGATCAAAGCACACTGGGAGAGCAATTGCAAAAGCTCCCAGGTTCAATGTATTACAGTATTTTAATAATTTTTTGGAAGCCGCCCAGAGTGGCTGGGGAAGCCCAGCCAGATGGGCGGGGTATAAATAATAAATTATTATTATTATTCCAGTAGTGATGTATGAAAGTGAGAGCTGGACCATCAAGAAGGCTGATCGCCAAAGAATGCATGCTTTTGAATTCTGGTGCTGGAGGAGACTCTTGAGAGTCCCATGGACTGCAAGAAGATCAAACCTCTCCATTCTGGAGGAAATCAGCCCTGAGTGCTCACTGGAAGGACAGATCCTGAAGCTGAGGCTCCAAGACTTTGGCCACCTCATGAGAAGAGAAGACTCCCTGGAAAAGACCCTGATGATGGGGAAGATGGACGGCACAAGGAGAAGGGGACGACAGAGGACGAGATGGTGGGACAGTGTTCTCGAAGCTATCAGCATGAGTTTGACCAAACTGCGGGAGGCAGTGGAAGACAGGAGTGCCTGGCATGCTCTGGTCCAGGGGGTCCCGAAGAGGCGGACACAACTAAACGACTGAACAACAACAACAACAACATTGTTATTGTTGCTGCTGTTGTTGTTGTTGTTCAAGACCCAACAACCATGGACAGAATCTGAGCTAGATGAACTGGTTATTTGGTTCGGTAGTTATGTCTTTGAGGGGGAAGACTGCAGCCCAGTGAGTTTGCATGCAGAAGGTCCCAGGATCATATCGCCGGCACCTGCAGGAAGGGTGGGGAGCAACCCCTATCTGAAATCCTGCACAGCTGCTGCCTGTTGGTTTGTTCTGGTCCAAACGGTCCAGGTTTGCATCAGAATGCACTTGTGCTCAGGGATAACGCTCCCCCTTGTGTTTGATGGCTCTTCAGCAGCGGACATCGTGCAGCCCCCTAGTTCCCCCACAACCCTCCATGCCTTATTTTCAATGCACACGGCATGCACTCATGCGCTATTTGCGCTAACGTGTGCCTTTGCATGCGTACGCATTGGCACATGCATTTCTTGCGTGCTGCAAAACCGTGAGAGGTGCAAATCTCAAATGTGTTTCGGTTCTCGTGAAAGTGCAAATTGGCTAAAGGGTGCCTTTAAAATGCAGACTGAATCGAACCTCTCTCCTGCCCCCCCTAAACCCAGACTGAGGAAGTTTCCACCACCCGGTCGCCGCATCCACAGATGCCATGAGATTTGACTGCAATTCACGGCACTTATAGCTTTGAGCAGGTAAAGGTAAAGGGACCCCTGACCGTTAGGTCCAGTCATGGCCGACTCTGGGGTTGCAGTGCTCATCTCGCTTTATTGGCTGAGGAAGCCGGCATCCAGCTTCCGGGTCATGTGGCCAGCATGACTAAGCCGCTTCTGGCGAACCAGAGCAGCGCACGGAAACGCCATTTACCTTCCCACCAGAGCAGTGCTTATTTATCTACTTGCACTTTGACGTGCTTTCGAACTGCTAGTTTGGCAGGAGCAGGGACCGAGCAACGGGAACTCGCCCCGTGGTGGGGATTCGAACCACCGACCTTCTGATCGGCAAGTCCTAGGCTCAGTGGTTTAACCCACAGTGCCACCCGCGCCCCTCATCCAGCGTCCCTAGCTTTGAGCAAGGACTCTCTTATTTCCAAACTGGTTTTCAGAGCAGCGTTGGACAAAGAGCTCCGCGATAGCAGGCAACGTTTCACAGCAATGTCACCGTTGTTTACTCTGGAAGGATATAAATGAGCCCTCGGACTTCTGCCTTGGCCAAGCCAACTTCATTTGTCTCCTGAAAAAGCATTTCTCTCCCCCCCCCTCTTTCTTGGCCGCCTTCCCGGGCCAAGGAAATGCTAAACAGAAGGACTAACCGTAAAGTCCTGCCGCCCTTTGCAGGCGGGAGCAAAGAACGTGGAATGCAAGCCAGCCCTACAGATCAGGGCAGCTGCCCGCTGTCCAGCCAGGGCAGACAACTAGGGCAAAACGCATGCCGCGAAGCAGAACAAAGGTTCCTATTTGTGATGAGATGGGCACTTCCTTCCACACAAGCAACAATTCCTCGCTGACCTGCAAATGAATCAGGCCTGAGTCTCTAAGACTGGTGCAACTGCCTCAATCCCAGCCTTGCCAGCAAAAGTGAGGCTGGCAACAAAGGATGAATAGCTGCTGCTCTCTCACAAGAGACCAGGGCCGTGCGGGATTTTGACATCTTTCCGCAGGGCCTGCAAGACGGAGCTGTTCCGCCAGGCCTTTGGTCAGGGTTCAGTCTGATTCTTCTTTTTCCTAGCCCGCTCACAGGTCCTTTATAAGACCAGTGGTAACATTTGGCCCTGGAGAATATTAACCACTCTCAATTTTACCCGTGGACTGCCATCTGTCCAGATTTTAATTTGCTCTGAACTAATTTTAAGATGTATTCTAATTAATCGATTGCCTGTTTTTATGTTCTTATGTTCTTTGTATACTGTGTTAGTTTTATGTTAGCCGCCCTGAACCTGGCAATGGCCGGGGAGGTAAAGGTAAAGGGACCCCTGACCATTAGGTTCAGTCGTGACCGACTCTGGGGTTGCGGCGCTCATCTCGCTTTATTGGCCGAGGGAGCCGACGTACAGCTTCCGGGTCATGTGGCCAGCATGGCTAAACTGCTTCTGGCGATCCAGAGCAGCGCACGGAAATGCCATTTACCTTACCGCCAGAGTGGTACCTATTTATCTACTTGCACTTTGACGTGCTTTCAAACTGCTAGGTTGGCAGGAGCAGGGACCGAGCAACGGGAGCTCACGCCGTCATTGCGGGGATTCGAACCGCCAACCTTCTGATCGGCAAGTCCTAGGATCTGTGGTTTAACCCACAGCGCCACCCGTGTCCCTTTTGCCAGAAGTATGGATGGGCATCTATGTCCCGGTTTCTGATTATTATTTTTCCCAATCTTAAGTTCGGTTCCATCACATTTCCGCACTAGTTTGCAATTTTTCTTGGGGGAAAGTTCTCATGAAAATTGATGAGCATTTTATTACGAATTTGACACTCCCCCCCCCCATATATGTACCTCGTGCAATGGATTTTTGTACGTCATATGCATATGTATGCACATTTAACCCTAGGATATGTATATTCATTTGCAGTTTAATCGACTGGAGAACTGCATTGCAAAATTCGGAGAAGTGCAAACGTCAAAGGATGGCTGTTTTGGCTCCCATATTGTTTCGGGGACGTGTGAATCCAGTATACCTGAAGGAGCGTCTCCACCCCTATCATACAGCCCGGACACTGAGGTCCAGCTCCAAGGGCCTTCTGGCGGTTCCCTCCCTGCGAGAAGTGAGGTTACAGGGAACCAGGCAGAGGGCCTTCTCAGTGGTGGCGCCCACCCTGTGGACATCCCATCAGATGTCAAGGAAATAAACAACTATCTGACTTTTAGAAGACATCTGAAGGCAGCCCTGTTTAGGGAAGTTTTTAATGTTTGATGTTTTATCATGTTTTTAATATTCTATTGGGAGCTGCCCAGAGTGGGCAGCCAGCCAGACAGGTGGGGTATAAATATTAAGCTGCTGTTGTTGTTGTTGTTGATTTGCCATTAAATGGTAACTGAATCAAATTTATCTCCCTCCTCAGAGGTCAGCAGCAAATGCCTCTTAAGGCTGAATATCTGGTTCCTTCTTCAGTAGAGAAGCCATCAACCTCGCTTTGAGAAGCACAGCGACACTGCAAATTAAAACTTGTTTTGACTGTCATTTCCATTATTTCACGGAATAGAGAGAGTTGCCTTAACGCCAAGGCAGTTCATTGATTCATCTAGTGGATTATTGTGTACTGTAACCTTCTCCAGGTGTTATAGGACTGCAATGCCCAGCGTCCCTGACCCTTGGGCTAAGCTGGTGGAGACAGATGGGAGTTGTAGTTCTGTGATGTCCAGAGGCTGTTCTCCTCTGATTGGCTGTGGCTCCTGCAGTTCTCCCTGAGGCAAAGATGGAACCTGGAACCTGACACCTTTTGGAAAGCAGGCAATTCCAGAGATTTGAACTCAGGACCTTCTGCTTCCAAAATTATGGTCCCTCACAAAGTCTGGAGACAATTAGGAAGTTGCCTTGGCCAGAGCTTTAGGAGCTCACACACTGCCTCGTCCAGGATTTCCCAAACTTGGGTCTCTTTCCAGCTGTTTTTGGACTACAGTTCCCATCATCCCTGACCTGCTAGCTAGGGATGATAGTAGTCGTAGTCCAAAAACAGCTGGAAAGAGATCCAAGTTTGGGTAACACTGGCCTGCTCCACTTCTCAGGAGTAGGCGATCTGAGGATTGTGTCCCAATAAAACAGCTAGCACATGAGCAGGGTCTGGTATGCTTTCAAACAGGATGGGGGGACGACTGCGTGTTGAGGTTCCTGCATTGCAGGGGGTTGGACTAGATGACCCCCAGGGTCCCTTCCAACTCGACCATTCTATGATTCTCTCTATACTAAACCATCAACAGTTCTCCACAGCCCTTCCCTGAACTACCTTGAGTTGCCAGAGATCGAACTTTGGACCGCCTGCATGCAGCAATGCCTTTTCCCCATAAAATCAATTTAAGCACCTAGTCCTCATGGTTCTGCGCAGATTGAAACAACAGCGCAGGTGCCTAAAACTGAGTCAGGGCCACAGAGCTCCACGTTGGCCCAACCTGCTGGCAGAGGCTCTCCATGATTTCAGACATAACTGGAAGCGCCAGGAATCGAAACCTGCAAAACCCTGCCACCAAACCGTCGTCTTCTCCAATGTCCCTCCAATGTTTAATGTGGAACGTTTGAGCTCTTCGATTTCAGAATCCCCCGGACGCCACCGATTCCATTAAGAATTTGATGCAATGCCTGGAAAGGAACGTCAGCCTTTTTGTACACATTTGTCAATACTTTAAACCTATGTCTACATGTATATACAAACATACATTTTACACAGCACTGTTATAACGGTGTGTGTACTTTAAGATGGCGGCAGGATGGCTCCTCTGCAAGTATGGGAGGAGCGCTCCTCAATCTCTCAACCCTACTTTGCCCGCAGGATTCACGGGCAGGAACGGCCCCTGGCACCCTGGCCCCATGTGGAACCATCCCCGTAAAGATCTCCAGCTTGGGCAAAGTGGGCACTGCCCACGGGGCGGCTCCTCCAGAAGACCACCAGGCAAGAGATCTCTCTTGTTTTCGATCCGCTGCGAAGCTTGGAACGACGTTCCTCCAGCCGGCTGCGTCGAGAGTGCCTCCATCGCGGCAGCACGGTGGGCTGTTCCGGCGAGGCCCTTGACAGGATTCCTTGCACCGCTGGAATCAAGAGCTTCCCCGGCTCCCCACCAGTTGAGGAGGCCCCAACCAGACGCTGGCTTCCCTTGGTCTCCGTTGACGGCCCTGAGGTAGACTTAAAATCCAGTTGTCTCCTTGGCTGCTCCAAGCGGGGATGTCCTGGCGGTCTTCTCCTCGCGTCCTCTTCCACCTTTGGACAACCACCCACACGCCAGCAGCCTCTGGGCACTGCTGGGTACGCAGCCAGGCTCCTCCTCTTCCAACCTTTGCTCCATCACACACAGCCGCACTCTTTGGCTGACACCTCGTTCACCGTGTAGTAGCGGTTCCCCGCATCCAAGAAGGAGACATCGTCGTCGTACGACAGGGGGCGGCAGCACGGCCGAGCCCTCACCTTCTCCTTCTTGATCTTCCGCATGCTCCTCACGTTCTTGAGGGACAGGTCGTAGTTGCGCACGGCCGAGTCGCACGTGCCGCTGCAGTAGCGGAAGAGGACCGTCTCGTCTGACTTGTACCCGAGGCCCAACTCACTGACAGTCACCTCCAGCTCCTTGAGGGAGCAGGGCTTGTGGCGGGCCTTGGCGCGTTTCATCCGGTTGCCGGCTTTGGCGAAGAGCGGCAGTTCGTGGCCTCCAGAATTCATGGACTGGCTGTACCTCTCAATCAGCGTGGAGATGAGGTGGCGGATTTCTCCCTCTGTGTAGCTCTCGAACAACGTGCTGTCTGGAATTTTTAAAAGAAACAACAGAAAATTAGAATAATAATAATAATAATAATAATAATAATAATAATAATAATATAAGGGATGTGAGTGGCACTGTGGGTTAAACCACAGAGCCAAGGGCTTGCCGATCAGAAGGTCGGCAGTTCGAATCCCCGCCACGGGGTGAGCTCCCGTTGCTCAGTCCCTGCTCCTGCCAACCTAGCAGTTCAAAAGCACGCCGGTGCAAGTAGATAAATAGGTACCGCTCCGGCGGGAAAGTAAATGGCGTTTCCGTGCGCTGCTCTGGTTCGCCAGAAGCGGCTTGGTCATGCTGGCCACATGACCCGGAAGCTTTACGCCGGCTCCCTCGCCCAGTAAAGCGAGATGAGTGCCGCAACCCCAGAGTCGGCCATGACTGGACCTAGTGGTCAGGGGTCCCTTTACCTTAATAATAATATAATAATTAAATTTTATTTATATCCTGCCCTACCCAGCCAAAGCCGAGCTCACAGCGGCCAACAACAATAAAAGCAACACAGCATTCTAAAATCAATTCATTTTAAATTCAATTCAAAATCAGATTAATGACAACCATTGGGCTAGAGTTCTGTGAGGATTACCGAAGGAGGGAGTAAGGCTGGGCCCTGGCCAAAGGCCTGGTGGAACAGCTCCGTCTTGCAGGCTCTGCGGAAAGATGTCAAGTCTCTTGTGGCAGAGTGTTCCACCAGATCGGGGCCACAGCCAAAAAAGCCCTGGCTGTGGTTGAGGCCAGCCTAACCTCCCTGTGGCCTGGGACCTTCAAGATGTTTTTGTTTGAAGACCGTAAGGACTCTACTGAAATGGCAAAACTGACCGGGCGATTCAGGAATCAAGAAGATAATGACTTTAAAAAAAGAATGGGAAGAATTTATAACTTATTTAGGAGACCGTTGTTAAACAAAAAAAACGTGAGCTGGACTTTAAAAACAACTTGTAAAGAAACGGGGGGTGGGATGGATATTTCAGAGAGATGAAAACTGTGGAGAACGTAATGATATGTAGTTTTAGAATAATTATTCCTTCCAGTAGCACCTTAGAAACCAACTAAATTTGTTATTGGTATGAGCTTTCATGTATCTGAAGAAGTGTGCATGCACACGAAAGCTCATACCAATAACAAACTTAGCTGGTCTCTAAGGTGCTACTGGAAGGAATTTTTTAATTTTATTTCGACTACGGCAGACCAACACGGCTACCTACTTGTATCTAGAATAATTATGTTAAGGACCCATGCAGGGGACACGAGGGGAAATTGTGAGATTCAGAGAATCTCATATATGGATATGGTAAAAGTCTTTTTTCTTTAAAAAGAACCCAAAACTCTCCTGTCCACCGCCACAAACATGGGGCGCAGCCCTCTAGTTTTATTTTTGCATTAAATACCCTCCCCAACCCAAGCCAGTGTGCTGTTTAGCATGCTCCGAACATCCAGCGTTTTTCCACGAAGGCAACTTGGCCTCCGCTCACAACCTGGATTTAACAGCCTCCACGAAGCCTCCGAGGGCCTTTAAAGGACCCAGTGGCCGGAGGCTTTTATTCCGTTCCCAGGCAGGAAAGAAGAAAAGGGGACAGCACCATCTGATTCCAATGACCATTCACCACCAGTAATTTGCTGGCGCCAAGTTGGGGAAGGGCCCAGAAAGCTCAGTTTGAAACAGTCGGGGTTTGCTTGCTTGGCACGTCATCATCATCATCATCATCATCATAATTTATTTTGCCAACAAAGGTCCGTATAGTTAAAGCTATGGTTTTCCCAGTAGCGATGTAAGGAAGCGAGAGCTGGACCATAAAGAAGGCTGATGGCCAAAGAATGGATGCTTTTGAATTCTGGTGCTGGAGGAGACTCTTGAGAGTCCCATGGACTGCAAGAAGATCCAACCTCTCCATTCTTAAGGAAATCAGCCCTGAGTGCTCACTGGAAGGACAGATCCTGAAGCTGAGGCTCCAAGACTTTGGCCACCTCATGAGAGAGAAGACTCCCTGGAAAAGACCCTGATGTTGGGAAAGATGGAGGGCACAAGGAGAAGGGGATGACAGAGGGCGAGATGGTGGGACAGTGTTCTCGAAGCTACCAGCATGAGTTTGACCAAACTGCGGGAGGCAGTGGAAGACAGGAGTGCCTGGCGTGCTCTGGTCCAGGGGGTCATGAAGAGGCGGACACGACTAAACGACTCAACAACAATTTATTATTTATACCCCGCCCATCTGGCTGGGTTTCCCCTTCACGTTGGGGAAGGAGGCCCCATTAGGGCAAAGTCAGCACTGGCCCTCCAAGTTTGTTCAGCCAGCCAGACCCCGCACCTGCTCGCCTTCTTACTTACTGCTTCCTTCTCCTCCTTACATACCCTCCAACACTCCTCAGATGAAAATAGGGACATTTCTCACTCACACACCCCCGCCAACTGACCCCCCTTGACCTCCCTTTTCTTTTTTGCTGTTGTTCTCCTTCCCTCTCCCCGCTGAAACTCCCGCACCCGATCGGAAGCCGCATCGGACAATCGGGTTCCAAAAATAGTTCACAAACCGGAACACTCACTTCTGGGTTTGCGGTGTTGGGGAGCCAAAACATTCGACTCGCAAGGCGTTCAGCATCCAAGGTACAACTATATTATTATTATTATTATTATTATTATTATTATACCCCATCTATCTGACTGGGTTGCCCCAGTGACTCTGGACAGCTTCCAACATAAGTCATACCTCGGGTTACAGACGCTTCAGGTTGCGTTTTTCTGGGTTACGGACAGGCCGAATCCCGGAAGTAACGGAATGGGTTACTTCCAGGTTTCGGCAGCCGTGCATGCAGAGAAGCGCTACATCGGGCTTTGCGCATGCGCAGAAGCGCTGAATCGCAACCCAAGCGTGTGCAGACGCGGCGCTGCGGGTTGCGAACATGCCTCCTGCACGGATCACGTTCGCAACCTGAGAGCCCACTGTATAGAAAAATTCCTGGAGGGTGATGGGATGGAGGTAGGGGTTGGAGCACTTCACTCTTCTCCCGGTGTGTGCAATTGGTAGCTTACAGGAATGCCTAAAGGTAAAGGTAATGGTAAAGGGACCCCTGACCATTAGGTCCAGTCGTGACCGACTCTGGGGTTGCGGCGCTCATCTCGCTTTATGGCCGAGGGAGCCGGCATACAGCTTCTGGGTCATGTGGCCAGCATGACGAAGCCGCTCGTGGCGAACCAGAGCAGCGCACGGAAATGCCATGTACCTTCCCACCGGAGTGGTGCCTATTTATCTACTTGTACTTGACGTGCTTTTGAACTGCTAGGTTGGCAGGAGCAGGGACCAAGCAACGGAAGCTCACCAGGTCACGGGGATTCGAACCGCCAACCTTCTGATCGGCAAGTCCTAGGCTCTGTGGTTTAACCCACAGCGCCACCCGTGTCCCTTCACAGGAATGCCTAGATAGAGCTAGACCAAGCCCTTCTTCACCCATCCCTAAGAGGGAGTCCCTTGCGGGCTGAAATTTGGTTTCTTCCTCCTGCATGCCCGTGCCCTTCTTAAAGCGAGGCACCCAGAACTGGGCTGGCAGAACTCTGTCTCGCCTTAGTATCGTGCTTCTGACTGAAATCAGCCTGGTGCCCCCCGTCAAAGTCGCCCTCTCTCCTTCGGAGCTGGAATTTGGAGGCATCTGATAACCGCAAAAAGCCTGATCTAATCGTATACACAAACCCACCCCAATCAACTGCCTTTGAAAGAATTCTAATCCATATACAAACGTGCAATTAAATCCATTTTTTCAGTGGCGGGGGGTAGCTAAATGTAACCAATCTCAGAAGCAACCATGTCCCAGTCAAACAGTCCCCAAAATTCATCTAATCTCCCCATCCCATCCCAGCTCGGTAGGACAGGTCTGGATTTGATTGTATGCTGTCATAGGAAATCTCATGCTACCATACACAGTTTTCTAAGCAGGGATTTGCAGATGCAATTACATCAATTTTGCAAGCATGTGTGCAATCGCATAAATTTTGCGTGCATATGTGATGAGTCGATTTAGTCTCGAGTTTAGGATCTCTGTTCGGGAGAGAGTTTTACACTGGGATATGCTGCATAGAAGCCCAAGTTTATAATGATCAAGGTAAAGGGGACCCTGACCATTAGGTCCTGTCGTGGCCGACTCTGGGGTTGCGGCGCTCATCTTGCTTTATTGGCCGAGGGAGCCGGCGTACAGCTTCTGGGTCATGTTGCCAGCAGGACTAAGCCACTTCTGGCGAACCAGAGCAGCGCACAGAAATGCCATTTGCCTTCCCACCGAAGCAGTACCTATTTATCTACTTGCACTTTGAGGTGCTTTCGAACTGCTAGGTTGGCAGGAGCAGGGACCGAGCAACGGGAGCTCACCCCGTGGCGGGGATTCGAACCGCCGACCTTCTGATCGGCAAGCCCTAGGCTCTGTGGTTTAACCCACAGCGCCACCCTTGAGGAGCCATCTAAAGAGGCCACATTGAGAACACCTTAGGTTCACACCCAGCTCTATCTCATAAGCACTATTGCACCCTCCCAAACAAGCCTACTCATTTTCCACCGGGAGAAGGAAGGGCTGAGAGCCCAAGCTTACACTGGGAGATCAGCGACCCGCGGCGTCCCAGAGCCCTTGCGTGCCTCCTGTGGCCGTCGGCGAGCGAGGAAGACGACGAGGTTCTCGAAAACAGCGACGAGGAGAAGAGGGTGTGCTCCTGGCTCCTGGTGAACAAGTCTCTACAAACCAAAACGGACAACATGGAACTGAAGAGCATCGAGGCTAGAGCTGCCAGCTTCCATACCTTCATCTTAGACCAAGTCAGAACATTGAAACTCTGCAAAACAGGCAAAAACGACAGTCTTTATTACACCGGCCTGGGCCCTGGCATCCCTGCCCCACCCAGACCCCCTGCAATAGCATTCGAAAGAGGCGCACGTGGCGTCGGGGGGGCTTCTCCTCCTCCGAAAAACGCAGAAATGGATAAAAGCCTCCTATCCAAACAATGACTGTCATCAGCGCAGGTAAGAGGGAAAGATTACCGTATTTTTCGCTCTATAAGACGCACCAGACCACAAGACGCACCTAGTTTTTGGAGGAGGAAAACAAGAAAAAAATAAAAATCTGAATCTCAGAAGCCAGAACAGCAAGAGGGATCGCTGCGCAGTGAAAGCAGCAATCCCTCTTGCTGTTCTGGCTTCTGAGATAGCGTACACACATTTCCCCTTACTTTTTAGGAGGGGAAAAGTGACTCTAATAGAGCAAAAAATACGGTAATTTTAATTTTTATCATCTACAATACTGTCTTATTCATCTTATAGTATGATACGTTGATTATTGCCTTCATTCTATGGATCAATGGTCTCGTTAGATAGTAAAATTGCTGTTTTAGGAGTTATTTTTAAAAGTCTGGAAAGGATTAATCCGTTTTGCATTGCTTTCTATGGGAAAGAGAGCCTTGGCTTTGGAACGCTTTGGTTTTGGAACGGACTTCCGGAACGGATTAAGTTTGAGAACCGAGGTTGGTACCTCAGGTCAAGTACTTAATTCATTCCGGAGGTCCGTTCTTAACCTGAAACTGTTCTTAACCTGGAGCACCACTTTAGCTAATGGGGCCTCCTGCTGCCGCTGCACAATTTCTGTTCTCATCCTGAAGCAAAGTTCTTAACCCGAGGTACTACTTCGGGGTTAGCGGAGTCTGTAACCTGAAGTGCCTGTAACCTGAGGTACCACTGTACGGTCCACACTTAAACCTCCGTGTCCAAGCTACCCCCCTTTTTTTTACTTCATAGCTTCCCCTGCAAAAACCCACTCCTTAAAGCTGAAACACAGTAAACATCGATCCACCAAAACCCCAGATTGCCATTTGCTCCAGTGGGGCACTAAAGAACAGGCTTTCGCAGAACTTTCAAGTACTTCCCTGTTCCTAGAAAGAGCAGAGCTAAGTCCTGCTAAAGGTAAAGGTAAAGGGACCCCTGACCATTAGGTCCAGTCGTGACCGACTCTGGGGTTGCTGCGCTCATCTCGCTTTATTGGCCGAGGGAGCCGGCGTACAGCTTCCGGGTCATGTGGCCAGCATGACTAAGCCGCTTCTGGCAAACCAGAGCAGCGCACGGAAACGCCGTTTACCTTCCTGTTGGAGTGGTACCTATTTATCTACTTGCACTTTGACGTGCTTTCGAAGTGCTAGGTTGGCAGGAGCAGGGACCGAGCAACGGGAGCTCACCCCGTCGTTGCAGGGATTCGAACTGCCGACCTTCTGATCGGCAAGCCCTAGGCTCAGTGGTTTAACCCACAGCGCCACCTGCTACTGAGTAGGAAAATGACAGGCAAAGCCACCCACTGGATTCATTGTTAAGGAGGAAGGCAGGTGGGCATGGAGGAATCTAGACTGTGGTTGGTGAGGCAGTGCCCCATCCAATCTAATGGACCAGCCTCCAGAGACGAGAAGCAAAGGTATTTAGGTCCTCTTTGCATGGCTCCCCTGGCTGTTTGTGTCCCAATCTCTCTGCAAAGAGCAATGTACTTCCAAAGCATTTTGTAGCCTGTTATAGGAATTCTAAGGTCTCATATATATATATAAATCATATGTTCATAAATGTACAAGGCAAACACATACAAAAGCATATAAACCACGTGTCTGAAATAGTACGGGAGAGCAATCCTGAAACCATTTTGACTCTCCCAAATTGACCTCAAATGTTTCTCTGCAAGGAGGGAGGAAATGGGAAAAGCCACCCCATTGTCTTTTTGCTTGCAGATCCTGTCTTAAGGGCGTATTTGTGTATGAATAGGGTGAGCCTGTGATCTGGATTCAGGAACTGAGTATTTACCATCACTGAAGAATGGCCAGGGTGCCCAGATAAAAGCAATCAGTGACCATTAACAGGTTTCCTGCCAGACAGGATTCTGCTATAGACCGCCTCTTTTGTGATGTATGTGTATTTTTTCGGGGGGGGGGGGGGCGAGATGGTCTTGAGCTACAGCGTAGGCAGTTTCAAATGTCTGTATAAGAGCTTGCACACCAATGTTCTGGGTTCCTCCCTCCCTGCGTGGGGTGAGTGGAGACCCTGTTGCAACAGTTTAATAAAGATCAGGCTTACTAGCTGCTTTGCTTCTCAATATTCTCTGGTTGGCCTCTGTTATTTTCTCCTACCGATAGAAAACCTACATAATGACTCTAAACGGGTCCTTGGGTACCCCATAAGGGAAAAGGAGCAGTTTTTTTCTGATAGCAAGCCCCATCCCCAGTTTTGCACAGTCTTGCAAGGGCCTCTGCTTTTCATCTGACTACTCGGTTTTCGCAAGGCTTCTTTCGATTTGATTTAATATTTCTATTCCGCTTTTGCGACAGCAAACACTGAGCCTCTTGGGCTTGCCGACTGGAAGGTCGGCAGTTCAAATCCCCGCGACGGGGTGAGCTCCTGTTGCTCAGTCCCAGCTCCTGCCAACCTAGCAGTTTGAAAGCACGTCAAAGTGCAAGTAGATAAATAGGTACCGCTCTGGCGGGAAGGTAAATGGCGTTTCTGTGCGCTGCTCTGGTTCGCCAGAAGCGGCTTAGTCATGCTGGCCGCATGACCCGGAAGCTGTACGCCGGCTCCCTCGGCCAGTAAAGCGAGATGAGCGCCGCAACCCCAGAGTCGGCCACGACTGGCCCTAATGGCCAGGGGTCCCTTTACCTTTATTAGAAGCAAACAAACTTTGCAATCGCTATACGTCAAACGCAGGAACGTTATAAATAGGGGAAGCAACAAAAAATTAGCTGATCCTAGCAGCCAACGCGTCAGCGCTGCAGAATTTTCTGAAAGCAGTAGCTGCCCAAATGGTGTCCCACAAGAAACCAGTCAGTTAAAAACAATGAATGGATCTTGTGTGAGCTCTAAGCGACGGAGAACGCTGCCCGTTGTTTCTCTGTATGATTCACGGTCTTAGGCTTGCTGCCAGGTTCCAGATCAGTAACTCATAACCATGCTTGCTCTCGGTTAAAATTCGCTAATAAAAATGTCAGCACAACAGATCCCTCGTTACATCCGCTTCGACTCGAAAAGCAACTCCTGATGTTAAGCAGAGACTCTGAGACCGAAAGTTACGAAAACGGTTCGTTTTGGCAAGCAGAGTTTGCTTCCCACCAAATCTTACCGCCTAAAGTCAGTTATCACCCTACCAGAGAGCTAATAACATTAATCCTTCCTAGTTTAGGGAAGGGGCAGAAATTACCGTATTTTTTGCTCTATAAGAGCATAAGATGCACCTAGTTTTTGGAGGAGGAAAACAAGAAAAAAAATATATTCTGAATCCCAGAAGCCAGAACAGCAAGAGGGATCGCTACGCAGTGAAAGCAGCAATCCCTCTTGCTGTTCTGGCTTCCTGGATAGCCGCGTGAAGCCTCTTCAGGACAGCGGATGAAGGCTCCCCCAAGAGCCGTGCTCCCTTTAAAGAGCACGTGGAGCATGTGTGCAGCTCTTGGGGGCTTTTCCCCGAGGAGGGAGAAGGGCAGCCCCCAAGAGCTGCGCGCACACTCCACACGGCTCTTTAAAGGGAGCACTGAGCAGAGCCTCCCGCCTGCATTCGCTCCTTAAGACGCACACACATTTCCCCTTACTTTTTAGGAGGGGAAAAGTTCGTCTTATAGAGCGAAAAATACGGTATTTCCAGTTCTCATTTAAAGGTGTTTCTACCTAATTCACGGGACGCGGGTGGCGCTGTGGGTTAAACCACAGAGCCTAGGACTTGCCAATCAGAAGGTCGGTGGTTCGAATCCCCGCAATGGGTGAGCTTCCGTTGTTCGGTCCCTGCTCCTGCCAACCTAGCAGTTCGAAAGCACGTCAAAGTGCAAGGAGATAAATAGGTACCGCTCTGGCGGGAAGGTAAACGGCGTTTCTGTGTGCTGCTCTGGCTCACCAGAAGCGGCTTAGTCATGCTGGCCACATGACCCGGAAGCTGTACGCCGGCTCCATCGGCCAATAAACCGAGATGAGCGCCGCAACCCCAGAGTCGGCCACGACTGGACCTAATGGTCAGGGGTCCCTTTACCTTTACCTAATTCACACTTCCTGGATCCAAATGCAGCCATCCATCAAAATCCAAATTTCTTCAAATTTTCCAGTGTGGTTTCTAGAAAGTGGAATTCTTGGGAATATTGGAGTGGATTTTTTTTTGGGGGGGGGGAAATCTCTATATAGCTGGCAGATGAAGAGACAGAAATTCTCTCTCTCTCTCTTTTAATCCCTTCCCTTCCTTTTCTCCCCTCCTTTCGGTTTGTGTTTTTATTTAGATTAGCTTCTGTTACCTCCAATAAAAAAATTGGATATTTAATATTAAGCTTTATTTCAAACTTTAATAAAATATATTGGGAGGGGGTGGGATTTTGCAATGCAGTTCTCCAGACAGATAATATTTACAAAATTGCATACACTACGTAAAGCGGGCATAGAAAAATGCATGTATCGGTGAATACAAGATTCAAGCATGCATTGTATTTGGGGGAAAGATATGCATTAATAAAAGCGACCCAGAACATCCTGATACATCAGGACAGGATTATAACCAATCCATATGTCCCTCCATCCAGCACAATTACGATTAAACCAGCTGTGTGTCTAGGTGTCCACCTGTAGGGTCCGTATACTGAAATAAATGAAGAGGATGACTCATATATAGGGAAGGGGAACCTTTTGCCCTCCAGATGTTGTTTCCACCATTACCATCTCTGAACAGTGGCCGTGGGGGAATGCAGAGAAGGGGTGGGGGATAGGGAATGTTCTTTCACAGGTGGTGGACTTGTAAAAGAGTAAAAGAGTATTGGGAAAT